TTTTTTTTTTTTTCAAGCGAAAAGGGCATAACAGGTTCGTGTGTTGGCGGGGGTTGAGACGTGTGCCCTCCCGAGCTTGACGGGGTTAAGAAAAAAAAAAAAAAAATGTTTAAACAGGAATTTCTTCATTTGGGCTTTTTTATTTTTGAAAAATTTTACAAAAAAAAAAGGGGGGGAACCCCCCCCCCCCCCCCCCGAAATACACCTTAGCTAGTCTTAATTTGCCTGCTCCTCGGTAAGTTAAGGATAAAAAGAGATTTTTTGTATAGTGACAACAGCCGAATTGTATATTTTCACTTTTTGCTATATTTCAGACGGACAGTCGGCTTTTTTGCGCAAAACGTCTGAAATATTCAAATATTCCAAGTCTGTCCGAAACAGTTATGCAAATACAATCTTTACTTTACTTTATTGAATTCACCAGGGTGACTCAACACGGTGACAGGGGATGAAACAGGACTTACATCCGAATTGATATCAACCACTTCATTACGCATCCAGCCCTTAACAGGTTGTACCACACCACCGGGCTCTACGCCCCCCTATTCTTTACGAACAGCAGAGTCGGTTCTTCTACGTCCCACAAGAATCTACGGTTTTTCGTCCTTATCCGAGAAGACCACAGGCTTCTTGGTTGCCGTAGATACATTTTCTGGCGATAGCCTGCATTCTACGGAAGCATCTAGTACACGTGACCGGAAGTAATATTTTTCCCGACAAGCATCTATGACAGATACTACGATGGCGACAGCTTCGAAACCTTTATAGAAGTTACGTTTTGCAAAACATGTTACCTTTCTGAAGACGTTCAATAACATGTAAAAATCCTTCATTGCTCGCCTCTCGCAGTGCACTCACAACGGCCTCAAAACATTCATCTTGGTTGTTAGGATCCAGCCCTGCTACAACCTGCAAAAGACTCATTAGTGCTTGTTTGGGTGTCCTATAGCCACTGCTGAGGTGGATGAAGTGTTCTTGGTATACATCATTAGATAAAAACGGTCTGCACGCTGAAAGTACATAGTTCGGATCAGCATCCAATAGCGTTTGGTCATTTAAAGGCACGCCGAAAAATTCTACTGGAGCTTTCTGCAAAGTAAATAAAAAAAAAAAGAAGAGACGTCAAGGCACGAACACCATCACTGAGTGACAGAAAAGCTATTTCACAATTTAATAGCCTGCGAACAAGCTCTATCGTGAGAAGTCACCCGCAAGCGGCACGCGAGAGGACACTTCCTTCGCGTTCACAAGCGTCTCGTTTCGCTCGCCACTCGAAATAGAGTTCTTGCTGGCAGGCTAACAATTTTAAGATAGACGCACCGCTTCATATTCTTTTCCTTTACGCAATCTTATGGATGGGAAATTCAATGACGTTTTTACTACAGTGTAATGGGACGGTTTTGGTGGTAAGTTGAGGGGAGATGGAGAGGTTGAATCGTTCGTGTGTGAAACATCTAAAACGTTGGAATATATACCGATCAATTATGATACTGCCCTAAAAAAATTAAGCCTTTAAATTGAATGCTTATCTTAAACCCAGTTCAGTGAGCATAATTCCTCCAAGGACCCTGTGTCTTGCATGAAGAGATAATTGAGATGTGTCGCATAAAGCTGTAAATGGCCTGATGAATAAGGAAAACACGGGGTACGGTTCGTGTTTGTGTGTAGTACTCACCGTGAGACCAAGTTTCATTGAAGACAATCTAAAGTTCAATCTGGACAATAGGTTCTTCGCGTTGGGATCCGGGCTGCTGCGAAACTCCACATGGGATAAAACTTGGTCACTTATCAAACGAACTGGCAGTTGCTTTTTGTCACGGTTATCGCTCTCAAACCTGAAAGGATATGTACATGAAATAAAATAAGTTTATCCCACTGATGCACAATTGAGCCTTAATTTCAAGAGGTGTTAGTGTTTTTTCTTTCAAGATGTGTAGAAACTCTCGGGTGCTTATGGGTCAAAAGCGTAACAGCAATTGGAACTAAAAATATTTGAATGCTGTCTCTCCTTTTTTTAGCTAAATGTGCATGACTTCAGACGACGCGCTTAACTAATAGTTTTAGTGTTATTTTGAAAACAAGTACATATAGTTTTCTATTATGGACACAAAGTGAAAAATAACTTGCAACGAAACCTGTTCGTCCATTTGTGACACAATCTAAAGTCAGTAGTGTTGCATTATGTTTGCACTTCAAACCCCGTGCCTTTATTCAAAATATTAAGTTACTAAGCGATAACAATACTGAAATAAAGACGCTGTTAAACCGGACAAGTTTTCGTGCGAGACACACGGAAAAGCACACCCTGCTACGAGGGCTCGCTGCAAAAAATCCGTAGCGAGACATGTTCATTTCGGGAGAAATTAGACTAATTAGGGGGCTTGTGGAAAGACGTTTTTGAGCGACCCACGTCAACCGGAAGTGGACTTTTTGCAGTCTTGGGTAGTGGTTTTGCCCAGGTTTTCGGGAAAATCGTCTCTAAAGGAGTAAAGACACTTGGCAATACAAATTTTGTACCGTCAAGGCATATTCCAAAGGAAAACGGCCTGACTTCCGGTTGACCTGCGTCGCTCAAAAACCTGCCTTGTGTAACGGCGCCCGTACATACATGAGATGGAAATCTTTCATGTTTTCTATTTCAGCTGGGGTTATTCCTCCTGATACAAACACGAATGCTTTGTCATGCCCCGGTATCAGCTTTTTCCGTGAATTTTCCTCACTTGGAACCACGTTTGCGTTTTCTAGCTCTTGGACTACTCTTTCTCTCATGTGCGCTGGGCAGCAGATAAGATGGAGAACATCTTGAGAATAAGCACGATCGAATTCATTGAAATAGGAGAAGAAAACGCCAAGTAATGGCTGCTTCCAAATAAGGCTTGTCAAGTACGTTATTACTCCAGAAACGCTGACGTCCTCTTTGTACCATTCAAAAACGCAAGTGTATCTAAAAGAGACATAGAGGGGAAATTGAATTACTTTTGCAGACAGAATGATTTTGACTTTGAATTGCACAGCTAAAAGACGCGAGTTGATATATCTTCATTACTTAAATACCACTTTAAAACTATGGGGATACACTAAGGCGGTTAATCAGCTGACTCAAACTTAATTTAACGAGAGAAAAACATTACTAAGTACTACACACAAAACTACAAACTAAAAGCACACATAAGCTATACACAGTATAAAAGCTATGCAAAAAATAAGTATTATCAGAATTTAAAAAGGTTAAAAAGAGTAACAATAAGCTCATAGTAGCTCATAGTAGCTTAGTATTCCAACAGTTTCAATGTATGCTAACTTGCATTAGCATAACCAAAAGTTCAGTTTACCTCCAATTCATTAACAACAAAACAACTACAACATTTGGACGTCTTCTTACCCAGAGAAGCGTTCTACCTGGAACCTAACAAATGTCCCGTCAAAATGTACAGGACATTTAAGACCATCTGTGATTTCCATCCATTTTTTTTCTTCGTCATCAGAATTTAAGAACAATACTCTGACACGGCATGTCGAGGGGACTGGAATCTTTTCCTGGTCGCTGCGAAGAGACACTGGCAACTGAATTGTGACGGGCTTCGAGAATTCGACGATTTGGGAACAGCAGACACGCAGTATTGGTCCAAGAAACACGTCTTGGTCTTTAAATTCTTCACCTGGAACTTCTTGCACCTAAAGGGATAATAGAAAACACAACTAAATTAACCTGAACTTACTGTCAGATTTGCTGCCATTTTTTCGAGTTTTAGAGGAAAAAAGAGACCATTTTCTCCAGGAACACCATATCCGGTGGAGACTATAGCAAAACCTTATCTATCTGACAACGCAATAGTCTCCACATGACAAAAACACTTTTTATGAGCCTAATTTCACTCATCTAACGTCTGCTGTATTCTTACATTTCTGTCGAGTTTGGAGACCTGGTAAGAGTTATCCTTAGAAACATTAACTGGTCATGTAACCACAGCAAGAAAAGATCTGGAGATAATTCATACCGTCCTACCTTCAATACCAGAGGAATGTTTGCTTCAGGTGTCACAGCATTCTCAGGGATTGTAACTGTCACGCGTGGATAGTCAGGATGGCTAAAGGAGCCACCGTTGGATGTGATGGCGTACGCTGGAGAAGGCTTGCGACGACAAACAACTGCGTATGTTGAGCACTCAGTTATGTCAGCTTGAGCAACGGGAAAGAAAAATTCCGGTACATCCCGCGGGTGAGGCGAGAAGTCCTCTTCGACCGCTGTAAACAATTCAGAGTGGAAAGACTATAAGCCGTTGTGACTTCTGTAAATATACAAACTGCGTGTAGTAAACGTAAAACATTGAACAGACAGCATTTCACAGGTGAAGACATACTTTAAACAGTGGGTAAATACTATGGGTAGGCTGCTCTTCAAAAAGCATCAGTTTCCAAACCTTTAAGACACTGTAATGCCTTAGTTCCATCCACTTCTTCCCATTCATTGCTTTCCCAATCGATCAGCTTCTTTATCACTAGTTCGTAGCCCTGCAAATCAGGCGCACTGTGAGAAAGAACAAGCTTCGCTTTGGCGTCGAATTTCAGTTCATCGCCAGTTTTGGTTGATATCTCAATAACATTACTGACAACTGACTCGTGCTCTTGCAGTGGGGGAGAACGTGCACTGCATTTCCACCTGTGGGCCACTATTGATGTGGGCTGAGACACAGCGTTAGGGGGAAAGAAAACGTGGGTGCTCCCTCGTTTAAGGGCCCAATGGGTACCTTCACTGGTGATTGTTCCTCTGAAATAAATTATTAAAACATTAATTAATCGAAACCCGTTTTTAAATAATCGTATACCAGGCAAGCCACGCACGGTATTGAGGTTGTGCGATATCCAGTTTCCAGGACAGGATTGTGCCCGCAAAATTATCTTATTTGCCGTAAAAGACTCCAAAAGTGTTCACTTGATCTAGGTTCGTTTTCACTGAGGCTTCTGTCAGCTTAATTCAGGGTGTCAATGATATCCATGATATTAACGGTATACAAGATATTTTAGAAGTACAGTATGGTATTTTATAATTTAATTAGCAATTATTTAATGAGGCTGAGTAAGATGTGAAGATTTATGCAAATCGGGGAACTCTTACCCCTGAGGTGTATAACAGTCTCTGAAATCTGCACAATTCTTCACATCATATACGAAAGCCGAATTCATCCTCGTAGTACAGTTAAGAAGAATTAACCTGAGACTTTGGGCCAATCAGAAACGGCGAAATATTTTGAATGCATAGTAACTGTTTATATATTATTATTATTTACATTATTATTTGCCCGTCGCTCTCCCCCGCCCTCCCCCCTCCCCCCCAGAAAAGAACGCCTGCTCGTAGATTCACCCCCCTTCCCCCGCGCTGGCCTTTTTTGCCAATGTGTTCCTACGGTTGAATAAAACGCATTAGTATACATACTCGTGTATTTTTCTTTTATCTGAGTCTGATTCATCCAAGTCTTCCACCTGTCCCTCTAGGGCAAGTTCTTGAATTTGCTGTAGCAATTCTTTTTCTTCGGTAATCTCATCTCCACCATCAATTCCCATATTGTCTTCGCTACCATCTCCACCGCCATTATCATCACCAACATTACTAACATCATCGCCACCAACCTCAACGCCATCACTGTTATGACTATCGTCGTTATCATCGAACTCATCACCTTTATCGTCTTTGTTCTCATCATCTTCTTTCTTACTTTGAAAGTGGTCATCATCGTCGTCAGAAGATCGCTCTGTTGAAACGAGATGTGACATTACTATTGTCAAACTTATGAATTTTTTCTTTAAAATTTCGAAGTATACGTCTTTTACTTCAAGCGTGTGTGTGTGGCAATGTTGATCGCTGGAATCATATGTCAAAATCCGGGTTCTCCAGTAATTTAAAGTAGGAGAAGAAAAAATTTAATTAGGCGGCAATAGTTTAGATCGAAAGGCTCGGTGACGCCGCTGCGTGTGGGGTCAGGTAAGGGATGGGGCACGCCCTGCTTCCATTGGGATCAAGACTAATGATCTGACATCTTATCGAATTTTTTTTAAGATGTGAATAAACTTAGCGATGCTTATGCTCAAATTAGGTGAAAAACAAATGCATTGCTTACCTTTTGACTCTCGGTTGTCTTTGTCTCGCGGCATTCTTACTTTAATAAATGCGCACATACGTTTGGACTGCCAAAGACCAATGGCGATCAAACCCTTTTCCGGAAAAGAAGCCAAACACAAAGGTCGGGTATCCATGTCAAGTACACTAAGCAAATCTCCACTCCGGACGCTAAACAACCGAAGACATAAACTTTCTGAAATTCCAATTTGGCGAGTTAGCATGCAATCCATTACGCATTCCGTGTCACTTACGAACGCATAGCTTATAACGCTATCGACTGTGCATAGTGTACGTAGAGTGGCTCCTGAAGATGCATCAAGCACGTGTACATCTTGTCTGCACTGAGAGGCTTTTGCCGAGATTAGGACAAACTCTTCCGTTGGAGAAAATATTCCAGGTATATTCCAGGAGTACAACAGCTCGGAATCTTTAAAATCTCTTTTCCATAGTATACTTGTGCCATCTGATAGTTGGACCAAGTGCCTATCGGTGGATAACAGCTGATATTTACTGTTACATACTATGGCTTCTTTATGCAAAAATGAATATGTTGACTGGTATCCCTCGTGACAAAGTGGTATGGTCTTCACTATGTCTCCCCTCGATGTATCTAGGATGCTCACTTCAAATTCCTTTCCTACGCAAGCTACACAGTGGTCTGAAACAGGCATTATAAACGTATCGACTAAACTGGCCCAACTTCGGATTTGCCGAGACAACTCGAAATTCCAGAGCTGAAGAGCAACCCCGCGTTGTTTCAAAAGGACTCCATTAGTCACAGGTACAAGACAAAAGCCATAGTCAGGTGGATTGCTGCCCGGGGTGGCAAAAGATGCAAAGATAGGAGCATTTTGATCGCGACGAGTACCAATCTGTTTCTCTGCTTTAAGCTCTCCACTTGACACATCAAAACATACCACAGCTTCATTTCTTTCAGTAACACCGTAAACGGTCTTCCCATCTACAGCAAAGGCCACACCTCGAAGTGTTCTATAGCTTACCCTTCCTTTATCAGGCCTGAACATTACAAGAAGGTCGCTTCCAGAGGATGCCCTTATTACACTTTCTTCGTTTAAGACAAACGCAAACCCCTCCTTCATAGTAAACCAAAGAGGTCCAAAATAGCTCTCGTGACTCCCAAACACACATGAGATAGGATCTCCCATCAAGAATCCACTGTTGCTACACGATTCATAAACCCAAGGTTCAAAGTCAGTGTTGTTATCCAAAACATCTACAGAAAAAATGCCACTAGGCGACTTGCTGACGTTTAAGCGAATACCTTTCAGGTATATGTCCAAAACCGTCCGTTGTGTTGGCTCATGCCAACAAAAAAGGAACTGAAAGTTGGGCGCAAACTTGATCATTCCACAAGGATTTTTAAGACTGACTTCTGCTAGTGTCTCAAAGCGATTTAGTGCATCAACCAAACAAATCAGTCCCGAAATATGGGAAATCGCTAGTACCTTTCCATCTGGAGACCAAGCAAACGTCAAAACACCTTCCTTCCTGGTGGCTCGACGGATCTCTTCGCCACTTTTTAAATTCCACATGACAAGGCATTTAGCATCGTCAGGGGAATCGGTAATCATTTTGCTCTTTTCCCCATTAATTGAACAAACCAAAAACCTGCATTTGCTATCAGGGAACAAGGGTAAAAGGTCTCCGTTAAACGAGTAAGCATGGCTAAGGGTTCCAGGAAGAACTCGGGCCTTATTAGGATGAAAAACAACAGAGCGATAACATGACAAAACAGACGAGTTCGACACCACTCTAAACTCATGATGAACGTCAACGTTACTATAACGTTTGCGAAATGTGGCCGGACGTTTCCACCTTAGCTCCCCTGTTTTGAGTGACCAGAACTGAATTGTTCCATCCCTACATTCAGATACCATGAAATCCCGCTGAGGTGAAATATCAAAACACGCCACTTGAGAGGTGCAGCGAAAGAAAGCTTGGATCTCCTCCAACTGATCCTTCTCGACCTCCTTATGAACGTACTCTATGTACGGTACTTCATGATATTTGGTGTTCAAAAGCTCAGTCGCTTTGCTGGCAAACATGTCTCCCCCACTGTTAACCATCACTTGAAAAAATATACTAGGACGTGTCGAAAGTCTTTCGTGGTGCTTTCTTAAAAGAGACCACATCGTGCTGAGGGCGCTCTGACTGTCACTGCTCAATAACTGAAAAGCTTCTTGTTTCTGAGTAAGGATTATGTCTTCAGAACTAGCCGTGTTGTTTACACAAAGCTTTGCATACACGATGTCTAAGTCGGTAACATAGTTGTTAACGATTTCTTCAAAGCTTCTTGTACTCTCATCCACCTCTTCCGACTCGAGCATATGATAAACACCGTGCTGTAGGGCGTACTTCCCGGTGTCACTGAACTCTCCACCGTGAACACCTCGTCTTTTAACATCGTTTAATTCACCAGTACAAAGCTCAGACAGGGCAAGGTGACCTTGCTTTTCATCCACAGAGAAGTCGTGTCGCCCGTAAGCAGTTCTGTCAGTCAACCAGTCCTTCACTGATTTGTGAAAGACGTGAATGCAGCCATCTTGAACAGGTAAAAGAGTTGAGATACATTCGATAGCCTTCCTTACTTTCCGGTGACCAGCTGGAGACTTTGTATCAGACAGTAGCAACTTAGAAACAAAGTCTAGTGGAAGTGGTTCCCTTGAAGCTGCCACAGCACTTAGAAAACTCAACAACTGGTCAGCACTTATGGTCAACTCCTCAATGTTTTTCAATTCTTTCTCCATACGATCAAAATAGGACTTATAAACATCTGAGACACCTAAAGGGAAAATTTTTCTTAACTCCTCAAGATCCAGACGTGAGCCGTTTTCCTCGATAAAACGAACCATCAAAAATGCAAATAAAATATGTCCATCGGCCTTTCTGGTCAGTTCATTGATAACTTCCTCACAGCTAGATTGAAGCTGTCTTTCAAGAAAGAGTCTGATGTCTTCAACATTTTCTTCATCATCTTGCTCTAGCTGAATAGGATTAAACTTTTGAAGACGGTCTGCTATATTTATTTCCGGTCGAGTTGTAACAAAAAACCGGAGCCAAACAGGAAGCGTAAAAAAGTGATTAGCAATGACGTCAAGCAGTTCATTACGGCTTTGGTATTCACATTCATCCAGGCCATCTATCACAAGAAGGAAGTTCCTACCGGGGTCACATACACTGCTTAAGGACTCCTCGAACAGCAACTCAAACAGCTCCCCAACTTCTAGGCTGTTGATGTCTGCACCTAGGTTCCCAGAAAGTTTCTCCGCAAGTACATTTTTGTATTTGGGTAAAACATCACACAACTTACGAGCTAACGACTGAAGCATCACCTGAGGTTTTCTGCCACGTGCTTTGTTGTGCTGGCAAAAGTGGCATCCTGCGAGCCGGCTTTCTTGGTCCATTGTTTTACAAACTACCGCCGCGATCACTGATTTTCCCATTCCTGCATTTCCACTAAGAACCAACAAACGATTTTCTGAACTTCTGTCTTCTAGCCACAATTTGACTTTTTCTAAGATAGACTTGCGCGTCCCCTGTTCATGTTTTTTGGCATAATTCTGAATGACTGTATCGGTGTCAACCACCGCCAGTTTCTTATTCAGAACTTCACTTTCTTTGTCTTCACTTCTCCTCTCTTCCAGCAATTCTACTTTGTCCTTGATCTGCAAAACATCACCTCGAATCTCTCTATGGTCTTTCTCGTGCTTCTGTTGCGTTT